TATCTTCCCAGAATCTCGGAGGATATCTCCAAAATGACAGTCTAAGATATTCCCAGAATCACAGATGATTATATCTACTCTGATCAGAATCAGGATGACAGAGGGCACTGTGGCTCGCGAGCATAACGGGAGGGATGTTGTGATTTCTCCATTGCATTATACGTGTATCCATCCTCAGCTGTACATGGACCAGACTGGGCCGGCAGTTTAGAACAGTTAGTTCAACCGTGGGAGCCTCAATTGATGATGTCTAACCACGCCTACCCAACTAACTCAAAGCAAAGGGACATTCAAGTCGAGGAGGAATCCACCTGCATAGGTGCAAATTTCAATTAGAAATGTTGGCGAATACGCTTAGAAGCCCAGCAGTATCGGCACCGGCCGTGGTTGTGGTTGTGGTTCACAGTATGAATCGAACCGTGGGAAATATCGATCATTGAATATAATATCACCATTGTTGCTCTTGATGGCATATTCTTTCACCTTCCCCCGCATTCCTCCCTCCCCAACTGATAACCAGTGGCGTTTATGGCGCGCGTATCACCACCGCCGCGCGCGTCGGGTCGGCGACTCGGCTACCTCGCTAACTACATATCAGCAGATCTCAGCAGATCGTATCCATAAATCCCACCCCTGATCTCCTTACCATCCGCGTCTAACCGCGCCGGGGCGTACCCCAGATTATGCGCGCATCCATCCCTTACTAAGAACTACTAAGAATCACTGGCAGACATGGACGGTACACGTGGTTGAATTGCGAGTCAACTGTACTGTAAGTCTGTAACACATCATAAATCTCTCGAATACATACCCGCACGTAGCGTGCAGTGGTCGATGGTAGAGTATACCATTACTTAGGACAACTCACCCACCCGGCAATGGTGGCTATTTTTCTAATTATAACAATGCGTCGGCGTCGGCGGCGCTCGCCTCGCCAAGTGTGTACACTCCAGCTCACATACCCCCCAACTAACGTACAATGGAAAAACGGGCAAAGCCCACCGAGGAACGGAGCACGGAGATGATTGAGCAAAACAATGCGGGGAACGGAGTAACGGAAAACCAGGGTCGGGTGGGAATATTAATCCGATGAACCGTCGGTTACGCGTACGCGGGTCGAATTGGGTGGGATAAAAGCTTAAGTTAAGTACACGCCTCGAGGAGGCCGCGGAAAGTAAAGACACCCGCTCCCCTTTGCACGTCGCGTAAAGACGTGCGTCGCGTGAAAAACCAGTGCTCCTTCTTTGCGCGTCGCGGAAGTAAAGAGCCGCGGGGGAAAAAAAACTTGCCTACAACGAACGGATTCTGTCCATCGGATGAGGAGGGAAGGCTCAAGGTTCTGCAAAGTATTCATGGCCATGGGGGAACATGTACGGAAGTAACATACCGCTTACTGTACCCACCGCGGGCATAGTACTCAGGCGCAATTCAGGGCAGACGGCGATTTCATTCCTGACCTTATTTCTATGTACTTACTTCCAGATTCCCAGCGACTTCGGCAAGAGTGTTGATACAAATCGATATCCTCGGCGAACAAACTGAACATTCAGTTATAATTAAGCGGCAGATAACGAACGTTTGAAGGTTCCTACAAACGCGGGCACCAACGGCGTGTTCTCGAGTTATCTAGGACCAGGACAGCGTACGCAGTTCGGATTTAAAGCATCAGCGAATACACGTCGACATTCGGTCGTTCAAGATAGTCGCGTCGCGAGATCGATGAGGCGGTTGACAACGTCGTTTCACGCTCAACAGACGGAGTCGGGGGGTTCGGCGTCGGTGTCGGCGTGTTTTGGGTCCCACCGCATCAATGTGCTCGTGTCAGAAAACCATAACATCCCCCGTGCTCGAGGATCTACGACACCCCTATCATCATGCGAGACATGTAAGTAAATCGGGCGGCGGGTGGATACACCTCGGTTCATGGTGCTAAGATGGAAGCTCGCTGCCGGCGCGTTTGGGTTCTGCTGTAATACAAATTGCCAGTCATGCTAACCAAAGGGCGAGTCAGTTTCGACGCTGTGCTCCTGTAAAGAAATTACAGCATGCCCCAATACCGATGCGCATCGGCGGCGTGTCGGGTCGGTATAATAACCCATAATTCACCACTTCATACTAGAAAGACAAAGTCGGAGGGTCACGTAGGCACGGTGTGGGTCCACCGCATGTGCCATATCAAGTATCAACTTACAACATACATGTATGCTCCCAGTTTTCGATGCTGACCGAGTCAAAGCCAAATTGCCCTGGCGGTGAAGGAAGACAAGCGCGGGCTGAAAAAAAGAATATAGAACGCTGGACGCCAGGACGAATGAAGCGGAGGAGGGGATCTGACGATTTGAAAGAACGTAGGAATTATGAATTCAAACTGTTGGCGATCGGATCAGTTCAACCGTGGGAGCGATCAACACTACTGATTATTCGCTGCCCAATAAGTTACTCTGTCATTTAGGGCGAAAAGCGAAGGCGCTTCATAGTCCAAGCACAGTTCAAGACGACGGGTTTGCGAGTCCGAGTCGGAGCCCGACGATACTCGCACGGCGGGGAGTTGTGGATGTGATTGAACAAGAATCGAACCGTGGGAATGCATTATAAATCGCGAAATGTAGACTTGAAAATGGCAATCGCTGGTGCTCCCACCGGAGGAAAAATTCAAAGACTGGGAGATTAATAACCATGAATCTCGCATTTGACTCGATGTTCCATCATTCCTCCTTCTCCGGGACCATTTCCGTTTGCTATTGGTGTGGATTCTATTCGGTTCCTCCTCATCCAAGTTCTTTGAGTCGTTCCTTCAAGATTCAGGATCACATTTTTGGGAGCCCTTAGAATCCCCTGTCTGACACAACCTCGTCTGCGTTCCATGTGTTCCTGGTTTTATTAGTTCATTTGACAAATTTATCTGGTCCTTCCTTCTAATTGCTTGACGGCGATGCTATGGAATCGGACCACCTGATGGATACCTTACTCAAAAACCGTGCTGGCGCCAAAAGACGCTAAGCAAGTAACTATGACGGCGCACCAACGGCGCACCAGGTACAAGTACTAGAAGCCGGGTTTTCGTTGACACAGGTGCTAGCTAGGTTTTTCAGTGACATATGCACGTAAATGCGCTAAAAAGACCCACATAAATATAGGATCGCTTCCCTGGGGTTTTGTATGTACGGTCGGCTTCAGTGGAACAATGAAAGACAGGTTGGATCCGACCTGGCACGGTTCCATTCCGGATCTACTTACCGCTACTTAAGACGCATATCGGACCTTCTTACGCCGGATCGTGCATCGGAGCTGCTTACGCTGGATATTGACATACACACATACAACAATTGAAAGCGCTTCCATATTCGACTTGAGTTCCGGTGCGGCCAGTGCAATTCAGACCTTCAACAGCTGTTGGCGCAGCGAATACTCTACCGCCTCGTCGCTCGGCTGTAGGATGACCGGGATTAAGCATGCTTAGCAACATTCAGATTACGGAACATAGTAAACGACTCACTTGTGCCCGGACGCAAGACTCGATTCCACGAGACTCACAATACATCTGCAGGGGAAGGAATTCCGGAGGAACGGATGATCCCACGCAGGTGCGCTATCGAGCTGCTGCTTCAAATACTCCACGGAGACGGGTGGTGGCTGCATATTGAGAAGGCGAGGGGCCGACTCTAGGAAAGGGATAAAGTTGCGCGAGGGAAGCACAATAGGCATCCCTACAGCCAGGGCCGTGATTGTCCGCGGCACAGCAGGGACCAGCTCATCAGAGGGAAACGTTTGGCACTCAAATCGTTCTAGTTGTGTACAAATGTCGAGCACGGTCACATCCTGGAGCTTCCCCTGCACCGAAAGCGAGCACAAGTGGTTCCCGTGCACTGTGAAGATCCGCCGGATGTGTGGATTCAGTCTGGGGGAACATCTGGAGAGGGTCCCCCTCGCGGAGGAGGGACGCCACGCACGGGCCCACGTCAGTGACCCATTTTGCGCTGAGCTTGAGAGCCACAAGCTTTAAATTGGGGGGAGGTTGAAACAAGGCAGCTCCTGGACACTATTCGTAGTGACATCGAGCATCTGCAGCGTCGGGATGGCTGCGACCAGTTTGATGATATCAGGGCGGCACCCATCGATGTAATGGGGCCTACGTGATTCGCATTGACGCGCAGAGATCGTATACGCGGCCCCGAGTCCCGAAGCTGCAGCAGTCCTTCTTGGTTCGACCAACCCCCCGGACCCAAGATCTCCAGTTCGCGCAGATTCGGCAAATTCATGAGGATCGTAATCAAATCTTTCGGTTTTGTCATCGAGCGGGTGTAGAGAACGATGCTGAGGACGTTCTATCGCAGCCAGCGGGCCTTGTCTGTGTCCGCGGTAATGGTTTGATTGATCTAAACCGGCCCATTGGCGGGTTTCGCTGGGGGATCAGGCTGCGAGCTGGTCTCATGCCAAATCCTTCGAGGCCATACCACGCTGGGTTGAGATTGACTTTCCGAAAGAGCAGTCTCTGGGAATGGCGGGACCAGCGCTTGCAGACCAAGCTACTTGTAAGCAGCCAGTGTCTTTCGGTCGGCCGGATGCTCCGTACATATGAAATGTCAATGGCAGCAGCAAGGTATCCAGGACCTCTAGGATGATATCTGGGAAGCTTTCGAGTAGGTCCGTTGAGCTTATGATGGTGGTCCGAGCCTTTGAGGCAAGAGTATTACTGCAGATTGATGCATATGCATGATGAGTGATGGCATCGAGATACCAAAAGGACTTATCAGTTCCAAGTTCACAGTGAGGCTCAGATACGGGCCAGTGTTGAACCTGATCAATGAGTTCATTCAAGGAACTACTATACCCCTGGATCTCTCCAAATCAGTAGGGTTGCTCTCGGTGGATGCGATAGCATACAGATTATACGCGGCACCGCGCCGGTACATTTTACAGACGGGACAGAAAACGTTCTGGCAGTTCCATTATCTTTGTTATACAACGAGCTTCGTGGGTATTCTTGCCCAAAAAGGAAATGGACGCTGTAGGATTTGAACCAACGACCTTTCGCACATTACTGCGAAGCGAACGCGCTACCAGCTGCGCCAAGCGCCCGACGGACGGCGGTCGATGGCACGCAGTACCTATCTTCGCATCTTTTTTCCCACTCAGTAGGCATTGATTTTTAGGATCCAATGCAGCGCCATGGCCAGTGGAACTTGGTGAAAATGACTATAATAAGTTGGAATAATTAGACTGAGCGAAAGTAATATCTTCTAACGGCAATGTGAACGACACAAATGATCTGCAGTTTAATCGATGGTTCCCACGGTTGAACTTCTGTTTTCATCACATTCAACAACAACCCGTGCTCTATCCGCATTTTATCCCTCTTATCCTTGACCGCATTCCATCATCAGATAACTTTTGCTTTGTTTTGGCTCAATGCGGATGCGCTTCTGCTCAAATTCCGGTTCTGCAAGCTGTTCTGATTCTGATAGTACATAGCGTACATGGAAGGTTGGGTTACTGGAGTATTCAGCCCCAGAGATGCATCTGTGCCTCCGGAGCCCCGTTAGAACGGTCCCCCTTTACGCCATACTTCGCGATGAGTTCGTTGATCTCTGCCATCTCGGCGGCTGAAAGCTTGATGTCCCCACCCGCGAGGTTCTCCAGCGTGCGGGTCGCTTTTCTGCAATAGGGAATCAAAATATTAGATGAAAACAACAAATGATCGGAGATAGAGAGAGGACGCACGAGGATCCAGGCATGGGGATGACGCTGGGACCCAGCGCCGCGACCCATGCAATGCACAGCTGAGCAACGGTAATGCCCTTTCTCTTAGCCAGAGCGTCCAACGCATCGACGATGGTGAGGTTGTGTTTCATGTTCTCCTCCTTAAAGCGGCTGAAGCGAAAGCGAATGTCGCCCTCTGGAAAAACAATAAGGACAAAGTTATGAGCTAACTCTGTGCGCCCCCACCTTCCAGGTCGGCCTGGCTCTTAATCTTTCCGGTAAGGAATCCACGTCCGAGGGGACTGTCTTCGGGTCAGTTGCACTCAGTACTGATATTTTTGGCCCGACTTACGAGTACGCGCAGACAGAGATACCGAGTTCAGCGGCTGTATCGATTACCCTCTTTTGATTCTCCTCGTACGAAAATGGGCTAATCTCGATTTCCACAGCTGCGACGGGGTGCACCTGTTCCGCTTTCAGATGGGCCGTGAGCGGGGATATCAACGCACCGCATGTGCCTTCCGGAGCGTGTCCGCGTTGCACTCGGAGAGCCCAATGTGTGAAAATTTACCCTCCTTGACTAGGGCCGAGAGCGTCTGCATCATATCTTCGACAGGGACCCGGCGGTCGATGCGCCCGGGCTCGAACAGGTCCATCTTCTTGATCGGTCCTAGTGCCTTTTGGATATTGTCGACGCTTTTTCGAATGAACTCTGGCCTGCACAAAGGGGGAAAAAACGCATAATATGATATGAGAGGCCCAATTGCAATCAGGGAAGGGCAGGAATTCTACTGACGAACAATCCGGGCCATAGGCGTCTGCCGCTGTATTGAACGCGCCTTTGACAGACAAGAAAGTCGTGTCCGCGTATTCTGGGTACTTTGCGTAAAAGCGCGAGAGCATCTCTAGATTCGCGGTTCCCATATTTTTGCCGTAGAATTCACCTGTTCAAGGTTGAATTTAAAAAAACGCAGGGGAGAACGCAGATCGTATCGCACCACTGTTCAAAAATGCTTTTGTGCCAGTGGGCAGAGCGTCAATTCCTGCTTTGATAGCCGCGAAGCACTGTTCATCGGGCACAGGCGTAGGGATCCATCTGTAAGAAAACATATATACCAAGTTAGTCTTCAAAAATTTACGCAAATAGCTACACACGTCATCATCATCAAACCATGCTACACCGAGTAATTAGTGTCCAACTGTTGCGTGTAAAATCTAGTATTTACTGCAACACGGCCGACAGTAACGTCCGACGCAGTTCCACCGAGCTTTGTGATTTGCTGGACCATTTTCGAGTAGTGGGAAACAGCGGGAGGGAATTGGATTTATAAACTCATAATGCAGCGGCCTTTATAGGGTTCTGAGAGCACGCTGACAGCATACGGCTACGTGAACTTCGGCACAACCACCGAGTCGCGAGAGGTCACGAACTTTTAGTCTGTTGGTTACCGCGCCCGTGTTACCGTAGGGTCGCCTTATTATGTAAGTTGCCTTTTGGGGAATGTCACGTGTAAGGCGGTGAGACGCGACTTGGACGCGTCGTCGACGACACTGAGCCATTGAGGCAAAGATTCAGAGACAAATCATCTTCGAAATGGTGATGAATGTCGCCTGAACTCAGGGTTTGATAACTGTGGCACTTCAATGCAGCAATAGCGCATCACCACCAGAATTCACCCCAACAAGGCGCATAGAATTATGGAGTCGCCGGAATGAGCCGCAAAATTTCCAAGGTACTTCTTCAGCCACCCGCAGTAGAATCCAAAACTTGAAAAGCTTGCATGAATTCAAAGTCGCGTCAAAAACGCGTTGAACTGATGATTGTTTGTGCAAGCATCGCACATCATTACATAATAACCCGACCCTACGGTAATCATAGCGCGGTAACTAACAGACTGAAGAACGAGGTAACGAGTGGTCAGTCTGTCAAGAGAGACTAACGAACTTTCTGCTATCCGACCTGACCCACCTGTCATCCGATCAGATGCCGTCAATAGTGGGTCGCTTTTGGGCCGGATGCTGCCGGATGATTACTTTTATTGGTCAGAAAGCAAACGGTAGGCATTTTTGAGATTTTACCTATCTATTGCATGCCCGGGATCTACCCTTGAAAGCGGCGAGCTCGATGAGGATGGGTAACATGTAAGGTGCGGTAGTGCTTTTACATGTAAATTCGTATCATAACAGCTACGCTTGCACTGCAAATCGGCACGTTTCGCAAAGGGACCCAGCTGTATTATTCAGTCTTCTCCTGGATCCATTTTTGTTGCCGAAGAGGTCATCCTGTCGATCCGGCAAGCCTTCGTGACTGACTACGGAGTTATGGACTACGGAGTTATGGACTACGGAGTTATGACTCGTAGCCGAAAACTTGAGACTTGGGAACAAAAATTTCTTGAAGACCATCACTACCTCGGTACATCCCTACTTGAATTACATCCCTACTTGAACTTTTCTCTTCCCTCAGTGACTAGCGATGTTGAAGGATGAAAGCTGTCATGTTGATGCTTGAATATTCCCACGGTTGAAATCGATCAATCTGATTCAACCATATCCCTGCTCCCTGCTGGTCTTGCTGGCTTTTTTCCCCACTTCCCAATACTCTTCATGTGTCCGTACGAGCATCCTGAAGCGTCATGGACGTTCATATCTGCGTTGGCATTCCGGGAGAATTCATGTTAAGTATGTGTTCGACATTGAATTGACCGTTTGTGGCAGATTTACTTGCTATCTTCAATTCTGAGGAGATGCACAGGTCTTGACAAAACTTCTCCGCTGTCTCTCATTGGTCGCCTGGCAAAATGGCATCGCGTCTGACTACGACAATTTTCTAAATGCGGAAAATTGCTTGCCCGCTCGGCGGGGCTGCCGATGGAAAGTGGTGGAATGGTGGTCTGATAGTGGGGCGAGGCACATGGGAGCCAAAAGCAGCTAACCTTGCTTGTGATGATGCTATTCGTTGTCGGGTTCTTGTCGGGGCGGCATTGGCGGGCAGAGTATGGAATTGTTGATGGCGCGCTCAAATCGGTTTCATCGGCGGAGATGCGCGGTGCTTGGCGCAATGGCAGGGAGCGCCGCCTGGCGAAATGGCGCTGGTCGTGCAATGGGAGGTCGACGAGAAAGAGAGAAAACACAAGTGACGTGATGTGAGTTGACGTCATGGTGGCGATGCGGTCAAAGCGAGAAATAGTGAGTATCTATTGAGAATGGCGGTGGATTGATGCGACGGGCGTGTGTATGCATGCCTATGGCATGTTGTATGATATTCGCGTCTAACGGACGCGTTACGGACGCTCGGAGATCCACGGGCCGAAGCATGGTCAAAGGCCCGAATTGGCGGAGATTGCAGGCTGAAATCAATTCGCCAGCACAAGATAGTTCTTCGCAGTATGGTAGACATCAAAGATTGTGCATAATTCTTGCCAGCTTTCGGTAGATTAAACCATCCGAAAATAGACGTACTCCCTGCAGAACAATTTGTGCAACGCGTTACGCTGAACTTCGGCCTGTCATTTCCTGCATTGCATTTCCGATGTCTACCTGTAGGAGCAGAACGCCTTGAGTTCGGCGTAGGGAGTATGTATGGTGAATCCTTCCCGAAACCGCACTTCAAAATTTTGATATGATCAGTTCTTCTGTAACTTCCACAGTAGCACAGCTGAGCGTACGAACGCAAGCTTCACAACCAAAAAAATTGTCGCACACTGCAGATACACCCCCGACGGGTTTGGTCACGATATTGCCCAAGTGCAATGCAAACTATCAAACCTGATTATTCCAAAAATCGAGGTCAAACCTCTCGCAATCCGAGTCGTAGTAGTCAGACGGCGGCTCTTCATCAGTTGGTGGTTCGGGTTTTTCTGAATCATAACCAGTCTCTTTGTCGCAGTCACAATCGCTGTCTTCAGTCTCGGGTTCCTCCCTTCCCGGCTTGCAAACGAATTTCCACGGCGGTTTCCCGGTTGTGTTGTCGTACGAGACCGGACTGAGATCTTCGTCGAGCCATTTCAGCTCAAGATATTCGGCAACATCTGCTCCCGTCTTCTCTAAACGTTCCTTCAACCATCGCTCCATCCGTCTGCGTGCTCCGCGTCGAAAGTGCAGATCCGAGTTGTGCGGAATGCAAAAATGGAACCCGACCCGCTTGAGCAACAGAAACTTCCGCTTCAACGCCGTCTTCATGCCCCCGGAGCCGCCACATGGAAAAACCACACGGAGGATCGCACCGAGTGATCTTCCGCGATCTTCCTCGAAATATAATGAAATTCGAAAGATGAGCGTGGTGACGTTTGGTGCGACTTTCAGCACATTTAGAACGTATTCGGCTTGGCGGTTAGCTCTGAGCCAGATAGTAAGCGAATCCGGTGCCGGGAATGGAG